AATGGGGCTGGGGATTTAGCTCAGCGGCACAGCGCCTGCCTGGCAAGTGCAAGGTCGTGAGTTCGATTCCCGGTACCGGAGAAAAACCAAAAAAAAAGAATTAAAATGGATTTCTTCCTTACAATAAACAAAAATTAACCTCAAATGAATCATATGCCAAATGCAATAACTAAAACTGAGGTAGGATAGAAAAAATAAAGATAGTTAAACAGGAAACAAGGAAGGCCAGATATGGTGGTGCACGCTTGTAATTCTAGCACACAGGAGGCTAATGCAGGAGGATCGCTGCAAGTGCAAGGCCAGTCTGGGTTACAAAATAAGTTCAAGGCCAGCCTGAATTCCAGAGCAAACCCCTATCTCAAAAAGACAAAAAAAAAAAAAAAAAAAAGCCGGGCATGGTGACACACGCCTGTAATCCCAGCACTTGGGTGGGAGAGACAAGAAAACTTTTTTTTCCTTTACAGTACAAGAGATTGAACACAGGGCCTTCACACTACGCTACAGCCCCAGCTCTTTCTTTTTAAATTTTGAGACAAGGTTTTGGTATGTCACTAAGTTGCCAGGCTGGGTCCTCAGTCTCTCAGAGTACTAGGATTATAGGAATATACCACCATGTCCAGCTGGAAACTCAATTTTTTTGTCACCTTACTACTTTAAAACTCTGGGTCTGATCACTGTTCAGCTTTGCACAAAACAAAGTTAATCACTCTGAAAGTTGACAAAATAATGTTTTTCAAGCCTAAATTTACCTAATCTATCTTATCCCCCTTTAAGACTGAGGGCACCAAGATAAGAGTAACTAATTTGCAGGGACACGTGTCCAAGTGCCAGCTTTCATAATGTCCAGTTCCAGACTTTCCTGGACCAATGCCTAGAAGTTTACAGCCATTGTCCTAAACCTGTAGTCATCTGAGTTCCAGGAAAAATGGAGCCTCACAGACCACCCCATGATGAGATCACCCTCCTAAGCAAAGACAATCACCTCATAAGACCAAATCACCCCTCCAGCCATGAGGATTGCTCTGGAGATGTGGAAATCAGAATTTAGATCATGACTGACCAGACCCTGGCCCAGCTAATCTTGTGTTGCCGCCAAGCACGGTGGAGCAAGTCTGCAATCCCAGCACTTGGAAGGCTGAGGCAGGAGGATTGCAGCGAGCTCAAGGCCAGCTTGGGCTACATAGTGAGTTCAAGGCTAGCCTAGACTACACAGTGAGACCTTGTTTTAAAAGACAAAAAAAAAAAAAAGAAAAAAAGATAAAGAAAAGTGGTCTTGTGCTTTTTTTGTGAATGGGTCAGTCAACTCCTACATTAGAATGTGCCCCCTCCATTTACTCAAGTTCAAATCTTTTCCTCTTGTCTCTTACTTTCTAACTCCAATAAACCCTCTATGCCCCACACTGATGTGTCTAAAATTCTTTTTTCTGTGATGGAAGTCAACAAGCAACAAGCCAAGTAGTGAGATACTACTTTGCACTCATTAGGATGGTTATAATCTAAAAGACAGACAACAAGTGTTGGTGAGGATGTTAAGAAGCTAGAACCCTCGCACGCTGTGGTGGGAATGTAAAATGATACAAGCCATGGGGTGCTGGGGAAAGGTAAGGTCTCCATTTCCTCATTGGAAAACCTCCTTGGATACCACCTGGTGACAAAACTATAACATTCTTAGTAGAAAGCATAATGTGAACTTTTTGTGATCTTGGATTAGGTAATAGCTTCTTAGGTATGACGCCAAAAGGAAAACAACAAACAAAAGAAAAGTAGATAATCTAGCAACCAACAAAATTAGTGATTCAAAGGACAGTATCAAACTAAAAAGTCAACTCACAGGATGGAGAAAATATTTGCAAATTACATATCTCACCAGGGACTTGTGTTTAGAATATGTAGAAAATATCTTTTACAACTCAATAATAAAGTCAAACACCTTATTTAAAAATAGGTAAAGTATTTGGACTATCTTCCAAACAAAATACTACACATGACCAATAAACACCTGAGAATATGCTCAACACCACTAGCCATAGGTAAATCCAAGTCAAAACCACAGCGAGAAGTCAGGCATGAGGGCTCATGCTTGTAAAGGCAGTACTCAGAAGACTGAAGCAGAAGGATCTGTGTGAGTTCAAGGTCAGCCTGGGCTATATAGCGAGTTCAAGTAAACCTGGACTGCACAGCAAGATCCTGTCTCAAAAAACAAACACCACAGTGAGATACTGCTTTGCACTCACTAGGATGGTTAGAATCTAAAACACAGACAAAAAGTGTTGGTGAGGATGTAAAGAAGCCAGAATGCTCACACACTGGGGGAATGTAAAATGATACAGTCTCCATGGAAAATAGTCTGGTAATTTCTCAGAAAGTTAAACGTAGAGTAACTATACAATCTACTGGAAATGTAACCAAGGGAAATGAAAAGATGACTACACAAAAACTTACACACACATGTAAGTTTACAGCAGCATTATTCATAATAGTCAAAAGGTAGTAACAACTCATTATGTCCATCAACTAATGAACTGGTAAATAAAGTGTGGTATATCTATCTAATGAATTATTTACAATAGAAAGGTATTAAGTTCTGATACAAGCTACAACACAAATGAACACTATAAACATTATGCTAAATAAAAGAAATGGATACAAAGAGCCACACGTTGCATAATCCCATTTACATCGAAGGTTTAGAAGAGCTAATCTACAGAAGTGATTGCCTAGGGCAGGGAGGGATGAGGGATTTGGGAGGTGATGGCTAAGGGGTATAGGATTTCTTTTTGAAAGTGCTCTGAAATTAGATACTGGTAATGTTGCATAATGTAAGTACGTTAAAAGCCATTGCACTCTATACTTTAAATGAGTGAATTTATGGTATGTGAATTATATCTCAATAAGGCCATGTTAAAAAAAAAAAAAGTACTCTGGAGAAGAACCAGAAATCCCACAAGCAGCTCCCCCCACTCCATATTTTTTACACAAAATCAATAGAAATAGCAGCTCTTGGAAATTAGAAAAGCTATCTAAATCATGCATCTTCCTAGTCAGGGGCGTAAAACTCACAAATAAGCAACAGAGAAGGACTCAAGTCCTTTGAAGTCCTCTCAAAGTCACTAACAGAAAAAAGAACAAGGTGCACAGTAACATCCTCCTCAGCAATAACAGTAGATAGGCCAGGCACGGTAGCACACACCTATAATCCCAGCACTTGGGAGGCCGAGGGAGGAAGATCACAAAGTCAAGGCCAACCTGGGCTACACAGTGAGTTCAAGGCCACCCTGAACTACAGCGCAAAACCTTGTCTCAAAAACAAACAAATGAAATAAATAAATTTTAAAAAGTAAGCTAGAAAGATGTGAAACATGCCCCCAAAAGATCAAAACTGGCATGTTTATTTCATGGTACACTAAAAAGCATGGGAAAAAATAACAGAGAATATGTCAGGGAGTGAGAGAAGAAAGGATTAGAAATCAAAAGATTGAGAAGTGAAGAATGAATTAGAAGAACAAGAGTGCCGTCCTCCCTGCCTCAAATCTTAGTAGTTTTCCACACAACGCAGACAGAGTGCAGGCACACTCTACAGGGGACATGGGTGGGGGACTGTACACAAGGACTAAGAGATACAGAAAGTGAAAAACAGAAAACTATTTTAAATTAAAAGAGATGAAAAGGACTCAAGACAAACCCTGCACTGGAGACAGGCAGGCAGCGTGCTGAACTCTGACTCACACTTGCAGTTTCTGCAGGACCATCACTGTCTCACCCAGGAAGTTCCCCGCAACCAGCCCCCCTGTGCAGCGTGAGGCTGCAGACTGCAGGCAGCCTGAAGGGGGCAGCAGACCCTGCCACACCTACTACCTGGAGAGACTGTCCAGAGCCTGTATGAAGTGATCCGTCCCGGAGCCATCCTTCTCAGGGCTTTCCATTAGAGACATGGTGGCAAAGACCACGTCGCTGGCCAGGAACTTATGCTTGAAACCAAAATGGATGCTGAAAGTCTGTATACGCATGTCCTTCATCCTGTCACAAAAGGAAGTAATGTCGCTGTCACTCTCAAGTCATGAACAAGCCCTCTTGGCCAGCAATATTCTCATGACGCTCTGGTCAGAGGATGAGGTAGGTCAGAACATACAGTCACAGCAGCCTTTGGGCCCATGGTATAGGCAGGCTCCTCTCCCTTACCCCAGCACGCCAGTTGGCGGGGCAAGAGCAGCCAGGCACAGGACCTTCAGTGGTGCCCAAGGAGCTGGTTAGGCAGAGCTTACCTAAACCTGGCCCTAGTGGCCCATTTCCCTTCTGCAATGAGGAAGGAGTTGGGCTGATCTCATAAGTCCACACCATAGTCCAGGATTTAAGGATCCTAAGGCTCGTAGGCATTTGAAGAAGGTCAATTTCTTAACCCAAAGAGAAGACAAACATTCGGGAATGACCAAACTCAGGTCCTGCTCACTTGTATATTCTTGGGGTCATTAATTTATTTTTATATTATTTTATGAGTATAATTAAAGTAGAAACCCTAATTTTAAAACAGTTTAACCCAGAAAAAAAATGTGCTTACCCAAATTTATTTGCAGATTCTTCAATCATTTCCCGCAAATTCTCCTTCAAAGAGATGTCCATGGACTGAAACTTCTGCTTCACCTGTTTCAGGGGAAGCCTGAAAAGAGTAAGTAGAAGCCACATGAATGAGATCGTAGAGATAGTAAACAGAATAGAAGGACACCTGCAAGCGGCGTCACTATGTAGGCCACAGAGGGATGTCTTAGCACCGTGATGGCAAACCTTTTAGAGACGAATGTCCAGACTAAAACCCACTTGTTAATCACAAAGTGCCAACATTGCAATTAAAGCTGAATACTGAGGTTTTAGTTTAGGGAAAAAAAAAAAAAAAAAAACTCATACATTAACAGCTTTTGTCTTAAGAGAAACACAAATAACACGTGTGCCATAGGTTCATCACGTCTGTGGACCTAGCACATTCACTGATAATGTTTTCGGATCTGGAGAGGAGGAAGTGATGAAGGAATGGGTAGCAACTGCATTTTACAACCCTGTGAGTCACAACAGAGCAGAAGGGCATCTCCATAGAAGGCTGGAAGGTGGAGGGCTGCAGGCCCAGGCAGTCACTCACCCCATGTCTGCAAGAAACTCCTGAAGCCGCTTCTGCCCATGCACAGACCAGAGCTTGAACCTGGCCGCGGTGTAGCTGGTATTGCACAGACTGTCGTAGAGGGACCAGTGGTGGTAGAGAGCCAGGCAGAGGCTGGGCCCAAGGTCAAGGAACAAATGCGGTGTCTGCTACTTACCTGGAGCAGCAGTGACCCACAACCTTGGCAGTGCACAGCCTCACGCACAGTTCTCAGCAGATGGCCTGTTGTGTTCTCGGAGCCTGCCTTGAGGGGCTTGCTCCTACAGCCAGGTTGAACAAGGGCAAACTGGAGCAATTTGACCCATATAGAAAGACTATGAGCTCATGGGTACACACCATTTTCCCCTTTTGATAGACAAACTGAGGTCCAGGGGGTTTGCAGAACCCTCTACTGTGGTCACAGGGAACAGTCATAGTGACACAGAAGGTGGAAGGCTAGGAATTCCCAGCTCTGGCTACCATACTGTCCTGTCCCCTCCTACTCCACCTATTCTTTCCCAGAGCCTTCTGACAGGACCCTACAAAACACTCCCAGCCTCACCTTTCTCCTTGAACTTGCCTTTCACTACCCATGGCCCCAGGACTGAGGCTGTGAGCACTGACAGGCTCCACCATAGGCCTCTCCTCCACAGCATTCAGGCTGACCCTGTCTGTTTTCCACAGTCATGCTGGCACCTTGCCACTGCTCCTCTGGTGTCTCCTGTCCTCGATGCTCCCCCCCTTGCTGCTTGACTATGACCCTCATGGGCTGCCATCTTCCCTGCCTCAATTCAGCAGTTTCCTATCCAACGCAGACATAGCTCTAAGGAAGGCAGGTATACTCTATAGGGGAACATGGGTGAGGCCTGCACATAGGACTAAGCAAAACAGTATCTGCTGAGCAAAACACTGCCTGTATCTGAAGGGCCTGAGCACAAGGATACTCGTACTCAAAGGAAATCCGGGTACAGTCCACAGAAAGGGTATTTTCCTCATCTTCATTCCGGTGGTTGTGCCGGGACACATGGCGCTGCAGGATGCCAACGTCAGTCACATACTTCATTCTGGAAAGAAAGTACTACAAGCTGGGCAGCACCCTCCTGTTCTCAGGGGTTATCCACCATTCAGGACACTCCTGCAGAAGACTGAGGAAGCCTGGTGATGCCCTGCATAGAAACTAAGTAGCTGGGGAATGTGAGTGGTCCCCGTTGGGTAGAGCAAGCTCTGGCCTCACCACCTTCCCTGATGAACAGGCCCTGTGGAGCCATAGTCAGGCCTACTAGCCCATGCAGACAAGTAGACAGACTCCATAAAAGACAGGCATCTCCCTAGCAGAAGCTGCAGACTCACAAAGGCATGGTAAGAGTGGACAGCACTTGAGGTGCCAAAGGGCTGCCAATCAGGATGGGGACAACAGGGCCTCACTGAGGCCACAGGCCAGGGATAGTACCTGCTACTACATGCACTGCTCTTTCTAGATCTTACGTTATCCACACAGGACCCCGTGTTACCCTTGAGAGAGAAGGATCTGAGGTACAGCAAGGCAGTAGGCTGTGGCAACATGGCAGTCCAGATAGTGGCCCCAGGTCTAAAACTCAGGTACCTCAAACTCCTTGGGCCACCCAGCAAGACAAAGACAGGGACAGGGTAGGGCAGGCAGGACATGGGTAGGGGGAGGTCTGTACAAAGTGCATGAGCAGTCTACTGACCAAGTGGAAGCTATACTAGGTGACAGCTCAGAGACATCTGTACGGGTCTCCTGGGGCAGTGTTAGTTCCTAAGGGTTCATGTCCCTGTCAATTCTCTTAGATGAGCCACTTCACGGCCAGAGAAGGCTGAGCTGCCTTGTGAGGGAGAAAGGATGGGAGATGCCACACAGTGCTGTTCGAGGTCCCATGCCCTTCCCAATAGTATTACACTGGGGCAGCCTTTCAGCCTGTGGTCAGAATCTAAATGAAGGGAGGCCTGACATAGCCACTGACACACAGAACAGACTTTTACACCAGTCTTCTTAAAAATCCTCTAGAGACATCCCCCCGCCTTTGTGATCAAACCAACACTCCCAGGCAGGACACTCAGGGCCCCCACAGTCCCTTCTTCCTCTCCTTTACTTCATCTGTGTCTCCCTCTTAATCTCCACCATGCTTGGGCCACACTCCAACACCTGCCTCTCAGCCCTGCACAAGAATAGGGGAGACTATGCTCCCTCCTCCCAGTGATGGCTCCACCTAGTGGACTCCATGGGGTGACAAAGAGGCCAAAGCAGGCCAGAGCCATTGGCAAAGGTCTGGGTACTCGGCCCTTCCTTGATTACAAGAGTCTGACTCAAGAAGGAGGACCAGCCCCTATGCCTTCTCCATAGGGCCCTACAGTGACACTGTTTCCCATCTCCTCACTGCAAACTCAAGGGCTGTCACTTGGTCACTGTACAGGGCTGATCCCAGAAAGCAAAGTGCATGTCCTTACTGGGTGATCCTGTCTTGTACCCACTGGTCCGTCAGTCCAACGATGGCCCACCTGGAAGTAAAGGAGTCGATGGAGCCAGCTGCAGCCACCCAGGCTTGAAGAGGCCTGTGGTATGGAGCCACGAAACGGGATGGGCAACGCAGGCTCAACATTCCCAGGAGCAGCTTGGCAGTGTGGCCCCTGGATTATGGCAGCATCCCTGCCCAGATCTGTAAGTAATGATCTTTGAACTTATTTTCTATTGTGGTGACATATTACATTTACACCTTCCATATAAAAAAACAGGGGTTATCCCAGGCCAGGTTTTCCCCAGGATGTCAGAGCATATATGTTTGGGTGCCCAGCACAAGAACAATAGTCAGGCAGGGGTGAACTGTACATGGGTCAGGCCAGAGCCACTAAAGGTATCTGCCAGTGTAAACAAGTTTCCTCTGAAAGGGGCTCCTGATCACAAATCAGACATGTAGGCATTAGGCCATCTGCCAGGTAAAAGAGGTGATCCATGAAAAGCAGACTGTAAACATCTAGCTCCCCTCCATTTTCAGGTAGGGCCAGATTGCTAGAGACTCTGGTACAGAGGCCCTAACTTAGCTGAGGGAGAATCAAAACAACATGGCAGTCAGATGCTATGTCATAGCTACAGGGCTCCTACCTGACCTTACTGCAGGGCCGTTGAAACAAGACTCTCATCCCAGTCCCCCGGTTTAGGATTCCCACACCACAGAGTAGAACCTCAGGCTGAGGGACTAAGATCTGGCTGAGAACAGTTGGTGTATACATGGCAGGGGTGGCTCATGTACAGGGATGAGAGCAGAGGACTGCCATAGGCTGAAGAACCAGAGTGCTTGAGTCAAGGCAGACAGAGAACCCCAGACCTCCTGTAAATACCCTGGCTACCCTGAGGCCCTGCTTCCATGAAGACAATTACAGTTAGCACTGTGGATGGTCAGAGCCAGGAGCAGCCACAGTAGAATGTCATTTTGCAGAGAAGGAAACCAGGACCTAGAGCAGAGAACAAAGGTGGTAGAGCCAGGCCAGACCCATGTTCTCATCACTCAGACTGTGAACTTTGTTTCTAGATCAAACCAACGTGACAACAACACACACCTACCGGTCTGTGTGCTAAAGGCCCTGCCTGCAGCCTGCCCAGAGAAATCAGAGGCAGGGACATTTTTCTTTCTCTCTCTCCTCCTCATCCCTCTTTTTCTCTCCCCCTCTTTCTTTCTTTGCAGTATGAACTAATCTCAGGGTTTCATACAAGCTAGGCAAATGCTCCTCCACTGAGCTATATCCCTAGACTTTCTAAAATTTTTATATTGACATAGGGTCTCACTAAGTTGCCCAGACTGGGACTGAATTTGTAATCTTCTTGCCTTAGGCTCCCAATTAGCCAAGATTTCAGAAGTGTGTCACCTCACTCAGCTTACAGAGATGGTTTTCTTATCAGATTTTACCACATGCCAGGGTTGCAGGGAAGCCTAGAAGGACTGTCTCATTCAATTCTTATGCTCCTTTGGTTGCCTGACTTACCAAGCACAAGGCTAAACGGCAAGGGTAGGAAAGATGGAGGTGCACCTGAGCTCTATTCTGTATGCTCCCTGAGTTTGTATGAAGCACCAAGAACCTCACAGGAAGAAGACCAAGGTCAGCTACAATCCCATAAGGGGTTGCATCTGATATTCCCAGTGGATACAAGAGAGGCCCTTATGGGGATGACTTGAGTTGGTAATAGGACTCCCAACACTGACACTGTGTGGGGGTTACATACCACAACATGTCGTTCAGGTCCTTGGACAGCATCCATGCCAGGTCAAACATCACTATGGCGGACTGCAAAGAAGCACAGAAGCCTGAGGGCAAATGTGGTTGTGCTTGTGGGAGAAGCAATGGAGCTGGGCCAGACAAATAACCCCCAGCTGAGGCCCTGCAGGGTGTGGATTCTAGCCAGATGTGAGAAAACAACCCACACTAAAACAAGAGGAGGAAGACTGAGAATAATTTAGCTGACCTGCACATTCTCTGCTATCTCAAGTCATTATTACCTATGTCCCTCATCATGCTGGAAGGGAAGAATGGAAAAATCTACACCCGGGGGCAGCCTAAGCACAGCACAGGGACGTCTACATATCTCACAGGGTCCCTGGGTGATGCCTAAGGCAGGTGCTGACACCTGGTGGTCAGGAGACCCCACTGTCAACTTCAAAAACATTTCCAAGGTCAGGTAAAACATGGCCATGGCAACAGTTACCTGGATATTAAAGAAAGAGAGGGGCCGGGGATTTAGCTCAGAGGCACAGTGACTGCTTGGCATGCGCAAGGTTCTGAGTTCGACTCCCAGTACCAAAAAAAAAGAGAGGAGCTTGGAATATACCTCTGTAGTAGAAGGCTTGCCTAGCTGCACAAGGCTCTGGGTTTGATCCCCAGTACCCCCAAATAAAATTTCAAAAAGACAAAAAAAGAAGAGCAACCTCCACATATTAAACAGGCATAGGGGTGCATGTCAGCACTCAGTAGGCTAGGACAGGAGTGTGAGTTCAAAGTCAACATGGGCTACACAAGGAGTTCAAGGCCAGTCTGGACTATATAGTGAGTCCTGTCTTAAAAACAGTACCCCAAAAGTGGGAGGGGCCTCAGGACCCTTGTAAGGATGGCCTTCCCAACAAGGATGTCCACAGATGGATGTATTCAGCAACTTGTGATCAGATGGATGGGTGTCCTAGATCATCAGGGGAAATAGGTGTGTGATCAGAAGACTCTAAAGTCCTCTGAGCCATGAGATGCTGAGCTTCCTCCAGGAGACGGTTTCCAAGGGAAGCATCTACATATGTATCTGAAGGGAAGGGATCTCATCTGAGCAAATGTCAACACCCTCGCTACCCACTGCTTAGAATTTTCTTTGGAAGGATGAGCAGAGGCCCAGTGGAAGTCCCTTCAAAGAACAATGGAACCCTGAGAATAAAGGAGACATGGGAAATATAGCACTCAGAGTTCAAGGTCCAAGGGTCATATTCTAATATAGGATGTTCTAATATTCTAATATTCTAATGTTCTAATGTTCTAATGTTCTAATATTCTAATATTCTAATATTCTAATATAGGATGATTGGAAACTTATTTTCTAGGCCTATTTAAGGCCCTGAGCTCTGCTCAACATTAACAGGGTCAACAGAGTAGGTTTTCTGTACTGAATTCTACTCCATAAAACACACACAACCACACAAAATGATGTATCAGTATGAGTTTAGCATTTTATCTTCTTGCACAGAGATTAATACAGATTTGTTCTATATTACTGATGGACAAAAAAATAATAGCTGTTGTTCTCTGAGCACAAACTGAATGCATGGGACATTCCTAAAAAATTGCCTCTCATGATGATTACAGATGCTCCTCAATTTATGATGGGGTTACATCTTGATAAACCATTCAGAAACTCTAAGTATCATAAGCTGAAAAATGACTGAGCATGCACCCAACAGCCTAGCTTAGCAACCCAGCACACTGTACAGAATTGGTTGTTTCTTATCATAACCTCCTGGTTGACTAGGAGTTTCAGCTTACTCTCACTGCACAGCATTGCCAAAGCATGTCATTAGCCCAGGAAAAGATCAAATTTCAATTTTATTTTATGAAATAAAGTACTGACCTAGGGGCTGGGGATTTAGCTCAGCAGCAAAAAGCGCCTGCCTGGCATGCGCAAGGTCGTGAGTTCGGTTCCCGGTACCGGAGAAAAACCAAAAATAAAATAAAATAAAATAATAATAAAGTACTGATCTATTCTAGAATTAAAAAAAAATAAAGCCAATATGATCTTAAAAAAAATTTAGAGCTGGGCGTGGTGGCGCATGCCTGTAATCCCAGCACTCAAGAGGCCAAGGCAGGAGGATCACCATGAGTTTGAGGCCAGCCTAAACTACATAGTGAGTTCAAGGCCAGCCTGAATTACATAGAGAGATCCTGTCTCAACAAAAGAAAACAAAAGAAAACAAAACAAAACAAAATGTAGCCAGGCACAGCAGTGGCATGCACCTCCAGTCCCACCTATTCAGCAGGCTGAAGCAGGCTTGCCGGAGCCAAGGCATTCAAGATCAGCCTAGGCAACATTGTGAGACACTGCCTCTGACTTAAAAAAAAAAAGGTACAATTTCTACTGAATATGTATTGTTTTCACACCATCAAAAGCTGAAAAATCATAAGATAGAAAGCCATTATAAGTTGGAAACAATCTATAGTCTCTCAAAATGTAAGGCTCAGAGAGGCTGCATCATTTTCCCAAGATCACACCATAAGAAGCCATGGAACTCCAATTCAAACCATGTTTTTGTGGCTTTAAAATCTTTTAGCCCCTTCTTCATGTTTTAGGACACTGATTGCTAGAGTCAGAAGTTTATGGTGAATTATACCTATTCATACTTACGGATGTCCCATGATATTCGTACTGCTCATAGTCAAAGAGGATATCTCGTCTGTAATGACATAAAATGTGAGCCTTATTAGAAAGCAGCAGTGTAAGAAACCAAATATTTGGAAAAATGCTAAAACTTCAGTCTTTAAGCCACACATGGTGGTATACACCTATAAAGCCAGAACTTAGGAAGCTGAGGCAGGAGAATCACTATGAGTTTGAGGCCACTCTGAGCTACATAGTGAGTTCAAGGGCAGCTTGAACTACATGGTGAGACCCTGCACAGCCTTCAAAGAAATAAAAATAAATCATGGTACCACTATTTTCTCTTATTGACTCTTTAGTAGAATGCATATGTACAACACTGGGAAGGCAATAAAATCCACACAAATTGTTTATGACAACGTACAAAGTAAAAAGATATGGTCCCAAAATTCCAATTCTGAAAAAAAATCCAATTCTAAGAAGTTATCCCAAAATAATTCAAAGCAACAAGACAAAACATGTTGGGGGTACAAAGTTAGACACTGAAGCCTTATTTGTAATCCCAAAATATTGGGTGTGCTGGGATTACAGGCATGCGCCACCACTACAGCTCAAAAAGGAGTGAAAAATCTGATATTTGTGTGTGTGGTGCTAGGAACTTGAACCCAGAGGCTTGGATCTGACCAGTGCACATTGTACATGTGTGGAAATATCACACTGAACCCATTAACATGTACAGTTAACACGTGCTAACAAAAAATTAAAGATTAAAAGAAGACAGGAAATGCCAATTAAGTACTAAGCGGTCTATAAAGGCTGTTCAGATCGATAATGGTTACATTACACAGAAAAGTACAAAATTAGATGCATATTTTGATTATGTAAAATAAGCACAAGTATGGACAATTCAGGGAAAAAAATTCAAACCCAGAATCTCTTTGAATTAGGAGGTGAGATTAAGATATTCTCACTTATCTTTCCTTATAGTTCCAGAAATGGTTTGAGTGCCCTTTTGTAAGAGGGGAAACCTTCTCCCACCGCCAGCAGGAGCACAAGCTCTCAGCTGGAACAGCAGAAACCACAGCTGCGTCACCCAACAAGACTTTAAGGAAGGGGTCAACAAGAAATTCCCCAGGGTGCCTACCTCACAGTACTGCTCCATGTTCACCTCAAGCTGGAATAATCATTCCAATATTTTAATTTTAAAGCACTCTGTTTTTTCTGACATTTGCAATAGGAAGAGGTGTTATGAATAACTTAGCTTCTGTTCATAGATTTCTTTCTATGAAGAGTTTTGCACAGCTAGCATCTACTTGACGAATAAGCATTTCATAATGAAAGTATCTACACTGAAAAACCTGACAAAAATAAAGAGCCAAAGGCCATCAACCCTAACAGATGGAATGGATTTGGGCCTGTTCTGTTCACCTTGGGACCAGAAAGCAGTACAGACAGTGACACAAGCTTGTCTCCAATGAGGTGGCCACATGGTGACTCCTGGAGTGGCTGGCCCTGAGGTTCTAAACTAAAGGCTTTATCTTCAGGTGAAAATAAACAAACTCCATACAGCATCTTGGAAAAATAAAAGGTATCAGTGGTGCTACAGAGCCCAGGGAGAACAGGCACTGGGGAGATTACAGATGCTAGACTCGACTCACCTCCGGGCCTCCCACTCTCTCCGCTGCCTCCTCTTCATGGTTCGCTCCACTACCTCCTGAGGCGGGGATACAGACAACAAAGGGTTGAACAAAGGCAGGATTTTATCCCTGCAGCCTGAGAAGGGTTCAGTTTGGTAGAAGCTGCTGGGCTCAGACCTCTGCAGAAGAAGAGGTATCAGCTCCATCCCCCAGGGATGCTCCTAGAGGATGGAGGAGTTGAGGCAGAGAAAGGCCGGGACCCCTTCGGGCCACTCTCACTGCAGACACCACGGACAGAAAGCAGAGGCTTCTTGAGGACCTGCTCAATGTTGTATTCTGTATCCCCCGACTCCAGCTATCCACCACCCATAGCACCATGGGATCCAAAACAAGTTCCCACTGCCTTGTACCCGAGTTTCCATCAGGATTTCTAAGCGCTAGTGTTTCTTCCATTCTCCCACATGCTACCAATGATTCTAATTTTACATGGACAATATCATTTAATTCTCACCACAAAAGGACGGATAGCACAGTGGCTATAAAAATCCATGGGCCTAGCCAGTTGTGGTGGCACACACCTATAATCTCAGCACTCTGGAGGTTGAGGCAGGAGGATCACCATAAGTTCGAGGCCAGCCTAGGTTACTTTCACCACTGAAAACACTCCCATACAATCCAGCAAAGGCTAAGCTGGGCTTGGACTGCATAGTGAGAACCTGTCTCAAAAACAAAAAATCCATGGTCCTGAGAGTTCTGCTTCTGGAAGATGGAATAGAAATCTTTTTCCCTATGTGTCTGCTAGGTATACCTAAACCCCTGGGTATTATAAGTAAAAGAAATTAAGAGCCTGAAAGGTAGAGACAAAAGCAGAGTAATCAGGGACCTGGGGCCTGAGGAAGAACATGGTAGTATATGCCCTGGGTTTCCTTTTTGGTTTATACAGCCCAGACTTGCAGATGAAGAAGTGCAAACCAAAAAAAAAAAAAAAAAAAAAAAATCTAACAAAAGCTACCCTCTCTAACCAAAGGATCTGAAAGGACCAGTCTTGAAAGACAGAAAATTTTTATACAATAACCACTCTACTCTAGCCAACACTACTGAAAATACTCCCATACAGACCAGCAAAGGCTAAGCCAGGGCTTAGTTGCCCACCTTGTAAAGCTGTAACAAAGCACCCCAACCTCTCTGCCAAGGGTGTCAAAGGAATAAAAGAGGAAGTCAAGACTGCCACACCTGCTGATCTGGAAGTATCTGACAAATATTTTAAAGAAGTCATAAAAAAGCCTCCATAATACTTGGGAGACTGAGGCAGGGGGTTATAGATTTATTTGGGCAACTTATTAAAGACTCTTTCCCAAAATAAAATAAAAGAGTGCTAGGGATATTACTCAGCAGTGGTGTGTTTGCCTAACAAGCAGAAGACCCTGGTTCAATCCTCAGTACTAGGAGGAAAAAAAAAAAGATTTAATATCAGATAAAGCAGAATTTAGAGCAAAATAAGTTGACAGAAGGTAACATTAAATAACTAAAAGGAGCCAGGCATGGTGGTGCATGCCTGTAATCCTAGCACTCAGAAGGCTAAGGCAGGAGGATCACCGAAAAGTTTGAGGCCAGCCTGGTCTACATAAGTGAGTTCAAGGCCAGCCTGAACGACAGAGACTCTGTCTCAAAAAAAAGAACAAAAAAACAAAAAAACAACGAATAAAAGGATCAATCTACCAGTGACATAGCAATCCAATATGTTCTACACTGATAAAACTGAAAAGAGAAACAGACAGTACTGTTAGGTCTCCCTGAAAGACCCCGCCCACTGCAAAGAAGAAAAAAGCATTTTGGCTGCACTTTCACACTTCCCATTAGGCCTAACTGCAAGGGCTAGCACGGCCCCAAAAAGCACCTGTTGTCCTCGCACAAAAAAATCCCACAATCTTACAAAGTGTTCTTGCAGGTTTTACAAAATGTTCTTGCAAGTTAACGGCCCTAACCACAAACCCCCGCTCCCTTGGTTGTTCTGGCCCATGAACATTCTCCCTGGAAAAACCCTTAAAAACTCAATGCTTTGAACAGCTTGGGGCTGTCTTGGTCCACTAGGCCGCCCACCATGTCACTCCCCCGTCCAATAAAGACTCTTCTCGGAGCTGGGGATTTAGCTCAGCGGCACAGCGCCTGCCTGGCAAGCGCAAGGTCATGAGTTCGGTTCCCGGTACCAGAAAAAAAAACAAAAACAAACAAACAAACAAAAAAAAGACTCTTCTCATGTCAGACAGTCTGGTTTGGTTCTGTGTGGATTTCCTGGTCCAATCAAGTAGAATCAACACCTCTCTGAAGGTGTTGAAAGAACTGAAAGAGTGCACACTTGTAATCCCAGCACTCAGGAGACTGAGGCAGGAGAACTGCTGTGAGTTCAAGGCCAATCTGAACTGCATGGTGAAACCCTGTCTCAGGACAAGAAAAAAAAAAAAAAAAAGGAAAGAGCAACTAGGCAGAAAAGCATCAAGAGAAGAACTCAACACGAAGAATTAACAGGATGTAAGTGACATTTCCAAAACACTCAACAACTTGGGGCTGGGGATTTAGCTCAGCGGCACAGCGCCTGCTTGGCAAGTGCAAGGTCGTGAGTTCAATTCCTAGTACCGGAAAAAAAACAAAAAAAAAAACACTCAACAACTGAATATGAGTCATGGTTAATGGTATTATATTTTTAATTTTTGTGTCTATGTGTTCATTGTTAGTACAAAGAATTAAAAACTGATATTTTATGCTAAATGTAGGTGTAAATCTGACAAAATATATAAAGATTTGTATAATGAATACTGCACAATATTGATGGAATAAAAAAAAATAAATGAACTACAGGTAGAAATAGCAACTTGGATTATTCTCCAGAGAATTATACTAAGCGGAAAGAACCAATCCTAAGGATTCCACACTGTATGATTCCATTTTCATTTATGTAACACTGTTGGATAAAGAAGTACAGAAATAGTGATCTTCAGTTGTTGGCTGCCAGGGCCTAAGGAGCGACAAGGGCAGAAGGGAAATGGGCATGACTATAAAAGGGCATTGGGAGGGATCTTTACAGTGATGGAAATGTTCTGTATGTTAAGTGCATCAATGTCAATATCCTAACTGTGATATTACACTACAGTATGTTACCATTGGAGAAACTGGGAAAAATAAACAAAATGATCTTTTTATATTATCTCCTACAACTGCATTGAATCTACAATGATCTGAAAGAAAAGTTTAATTTTAAAACCCAGGGTCCTGATTAGGGGATTTTTGGAGACAGTAGAACTGTTTTTTGTTTTCTTTCCTTTCTTTCTTTCTTTCTTTTTTTTTTTTTGTTTGTTTGTTTTTTTGAGACAGGGTCTAGCCATGCAGTTCAGGATGGCTTTGAGCTCACTTTGTAACCCTGGTTGGTCTCAAACTTCCAATGATCCTCCTGCCTCAGCTTCCCAAGTGCTGTGATTACAGGCATGTGCCACTACGCCCGGCAGAACTGTTTTTTCTTTCATCATGATGTGATGATAATCACATAGTATTATACATTTGTTAAATCTTATCAAATGGGGCTAGGGATTTAGCTCAGCGGCAAAAGCGCCTGCCTGGCAAGAGCAAGGTCGTGAGTTCGGTTCCCGGTACCGGAAAAAAAAAAAAAAAAAAAAAAAAAAAAAAAAATCTTATCAAATTACACACCTGGTGAATTAAGTAGAGATTATGCCTTAATAGCTGGACATAATCTATAATTTCAGCTACTTAGGAGGCTGAAGCAGGAGGATCACAAGTTTAAGCAAGACAAAAAAAAAAGGTTGAACTGGGGAGGTAATTTAGTGGCAGAGCACTTACCTAGTATAGGTACACATGGCACTGAGTTTAATTCCCAACAATACAAAAAAATTAAATAAAGAAATACTTTTTAAAATTTAAAAAAAGAAATTATACTTCAATAAAGCTGATTAACAAAATTCCTGTGTCCTGACATTTCTTTGACCTTCCCACAGTACACAGTGGAGTCCGGTCCACTTTTTATGTGGATAGAGGATGCTGAGGGACTCCCAAACCTGGTCTGGAAGGCCATGCAGCAGCTGTCCAATTAACTGGAGTATTCTTATGGGGAGCCTGAGCCACAGTGAGCATCATTTTCTTTGTTGTCAAAACCACTGTTCAGTTATCTTGTCTGTGCCTCTTGCCACGATGACTAAGGCCCCCTTAATACCTTCTTATTCACATCAGAGCCCTTCTGCCTGTGAATGCTCTGTCCAAGCATTCCCCTCATTTAGTCTCTGGATAAGTTTTCAGGACCTCTTAGAGACCAACTATCTATTTTCTACCTAGTTCCTTAATCTTATTTTTTCAACTAAAATTATTAATTGTGCTCATTAATTCTTTTTTTTTTTTTTTTTTTTTTTTTTGAGACAGGGTCTCACTATGCAGTTCAGGCTGGCCTTGAGCTCATTTTGCAGCCCAGACTGGTCTCGAAGTCGCAATGATCCTCCTGCCTCAGCCTCCGGAGTGCTGGGATTACAAGCGTGCACCACCACACCTTCTTTAATTATATTCATGATGGTTTCTCCCCTGGAAAGGAAGCTACTCAAAGGCAGGACTTGTTTCTCCCCCTTGAACTTCAGGGCCTGACTGGTACCTAGCACATAACAAGAGCTGAAAAAATATATGTGGGTAGGGAAAATTGCTCCGTGGTACAATGTATGATTATCATGCACAAGACTCTGGGTTATATTAGTTTATTAAGTCAGAGTGCAGAATTCTAACACTCTTAGCTACAGAACATGAATGTTTCCAGGGGATAATCTCACTGAATACTGATATTTGAGGCCCAATAAGTAGCTCATAAATAACTAAAGATTATACAAAAGCAACATTAAAAAATCCATAGCTTGCTAGCCATGGTGGTACATGCCTATAATCCAAGCACTTGGATGGCTGAGGCAGAAGGATTACCACAGGCTCAAGGCCAGCCTGGACTACACAGAGAATTCAACCTCAGCTGGAAATACATAGCAAGACTTTGTCTCAAAAAAAAAAAAA